ACCCACGAATAAATATAATCAGTTTTCAAATACCAAAACATGGATATATAACAGAAACTATTGACCAATTATGCATGACGTCACAAGTTTCCAATCTAACAAAGAAGACGACATTTTATCTCCTTGATAGTCTATTTTATTTGGCTCACACTGAATCGATAATATTAAATTAACACCTGTTTGATCTTGTAGCTTGCTAATTAGTTGAATTAATTATTCAGTTATCTGATAGTTAATGTTATTCAGATTGAATTCAAACATGTATACAGATCTTTCAGTCAACATTTCGAAGTATGAACGAGCCTTTCACAATTTACTGTGTTAAAATACGCCTTTTTTTCTAGCGACACATATTTATACAATATTACACAATTTCATTATTATTTTATCCGTAGTTTGTACTTTATACATTCTCTTTTTAAAACAAAAAACATTAATAAACAGAAGTATTTGAAAAAATATTTTTGCAAAAATTGCAGACATTTTATATTGATCTATTTATTTGTCCATTTGGGTTCAGATATTCATGAAGCATACTATAGTTCCCGAGAAATTAAAAAAATTGAATTTTGAAAAAAAGTTTCGATTTTTGAAATATTAATTCGATTTTTGACAAAACAAAATGTCAATTTTATTTACTTATGTTACCCCCGGTTTTTGCTGTATCAATATGCGAATATAAAACTTAATTTACATTTTAGAAATTTTCATCTTCAGCAAGGATTTTTATAACATGACTTGTTCAACTGAAACTAAAAACGGGGATTCTAGAATTATATTGATATTAACACTTTATTTCATTCTAGTAGTCCATGAGACAGAAATGAGATTGTAAAATTCAAATAATTGAATTAGAGAATGAAACTATCTGGGCCCGTTTTTCTGGACAAAACTTTTATTTCTTGAAAATCTACATATTTCATCTTGTTTAAAGATTTGGTTTAACTTTCAAATATTAAATAAATCGAAAGAATCATATTCTGTATTCTGTATTCTGTAATCTGTAATCTGTATTCTGTATTCTGCATTCTGCATTCTGTATTCTGTATTCTGTATTCTGTATTCTGTATTCTGTATTCTGTATTCTGTATTCTGTATTCTGTAATGTATAAATACTGCATTGAAAATCAATCAGCGTTCTTCATATAAAGAATATATATAAAACCACATTTATATAATGATTAAAACATAAACGTTCGTCGTTGATTAACAAGAACTTTTACAGACAACCTTACGAGACATTGTTCTTCAGTTCTTCACAAAAATAAAGTAAAATGTGTTTCTAATGTTGGGAACATTCCCTTTAAATGAGGTTGATAACATTATATCAATGTATGTTCTTATCAAATATTATGTGTTTAACAATCCGAGTTATTTTCAATGATAAACAGAAATAAATACGTTTGAAGACTACCTTAAATCACACTAAGATGTTTTAAATAGTTTTATAGCTTTTAAAACAATAAAGAATCTACATGCCACTATAGTAAGTAAGTAAGTAAGTAAGTAAGTAAGATTTATTAGAGATAAATCAAGATTATAATACATATTATAATATGATTAACATTCTCATAAGAATATAATTGAATATATCATGGGTTTTATCACAGATTAAGATAAGGTTATATCATAGGAAGTTTAATTTTCTCTGCATATAGGGAATAGCAGATTTTCTGTATTTCTCCGTTCTAGCATAGTTGAAGTAAATAGTTCAACATTCCGTAGCTGGTGGTTGTGAGTGACTGGTTCTACCGGGAATAGGGCAGAATGCCTTTGAGATTTTAGACATTTTTTAGCAAAGGATAAACAAAGTTTCTCTCTCCTAATCCTTAAGGTTTCTAGTTCCAGAACTGATAGAGCAGATTGATAATTAACATATACTGGGCCTAGAATAACTTTTAGGGACACCTTCTGAACCCTTTCTAGGGCCTCACCCTGTGCTATGGGCAAAGAGGAACTCCATACTACACAACAGTACTCAAGAATACTACGTATATACGCAATGTAAACTCTAACCAGGTCTTTCAGGTTCATACCAATAAACTTGAGTTTACAGAGTAGGGATAATCGGGCATAACTTTTTTTGCATATTTCTCTTGTATAGTTTCAGTAGAAGTAAATATTTCCATTTAGTGTATAGCGCCGATATAAGGATTTATCTCTAATTGGATGATGAGATAGATAGAAAGATAGACGATACCGCCATGCAATTTCTATTGGTTCAGAATAGACAACAAACACATGACTGAACCCTGATTGGATCAGGCGCTAATGGACTCGGCAGACTAGATTGATGCAGTTATTTTGGAGACCCCTGTGTTTATAAATCTGTGTCCATGAAGAAACCAGCAATCTTAAGAAATGATTTTTAACTTTTGTGGGAAATTTCAATTTACTTTTTATGAAGAATTTGATTATTTTCATAAAAGTTAAATTAAGTTTCCAACAAAAATATTTCTAAGAAATGAAACAAATGTTTATTAATAATCGCGCTTAATGAATTTAAAACGGATTTGTGGGGCTTCGCAAGGTCTTGGAAACCTTGAATATTTTTAATATATTTACAAAAACAAATCAAAAAAAAAATTGTCAATTTCTCATCAAAATTAATTTCTATAATTTTGTTAAAACTGTATTTATATTATTTTCTATGAAACAAAATAAAAACTTATGTCCCTGTATAAAGAATAGGAAATTATGTCTCCCAAAAACATATCGGTAATGCATCAATCAATCAACAAATACATTTGTTAGACCATTTATCCCTTGGTTCTACATTATCTTCAAGGTAAAACATTATGTTGTGAATATTCTTTTCGAAACTTTTCCCTGCTTCCCCTTGTATATTGTCTATAAAAGATGCAACTAATTACTGCTCTAAAAAGTTAAGGAAAACTTTTCTTTTTGTTTTTATTTTTCAATTTAGCTTCATTACACATTAAACCTTTGTTTTAGCAATGATGATTAGATATATCTTTGTTCTTATTGTAAACGGGAATTGTTGAAATGTGCAGTGTACACTACATAGGCCTACAAACCTACTGGTGAAACTATTTGCTTTGAAGAACAACATTAAAATATACAATATTTCAAAGATTTATAGATCCCACTCCTAGAGATACGTTAATTTATCTAGGGTCCCACTATTTCATCTTAAGAAAGTTTAAGGAAAAATTCAAAAAGATTTTCATGATATTTCTAGAAATTGTGTACTATATGTAGTAACTAAGTGCTTTTAATAGAAATTTGGGAAAATGAGAATTATCCTTTTTTTGACAAATATTTTGATAATATGTAATAATTAGTTTATTGTAGTTCCTTCTCATTCATCGTAATCATAATTCTGCAAATATTTTTGATGAAAAGAATATTCATATCCATAAGATTACAATTCGATCTGTGTCAACCCTTTCTCTCTCTCTTTCTTTCCTTTCATTCATTTTCGTCCTTTCTGTCTTTTTATTCTCTTCATCCATTCGTTTCTTTCATTCCTTTCATCCCTTCATTCCTTTCGTTCCTTTTGTTCCTTTTATCCTTTCGATCCTTCTATTACTTTCATCCTTTTGTTCCTTTATCTCTTTCGTTCCTTTCATCCTTCCGATCCTTTCTTTCCTTTCCTCCTTTCCATCCTTTTATCTTATCGTCATTTCCTTCTTTCGTTCCTTTCATTCCTATCATCCTTTCGTTCCTTTCAATCCTTTCATCCTTTTGTTCCTTTAAATCCTTTCGTCATTCCGTTCTTTCCTTTGTTCCTTTCATTCCGCTTTTCTTTTGTTCCTTTTATTCATTTCATTCCGTTTTTTCTTTTGTTTCTTCTTTTGTTTTTTTTTCTTTTGCAAATATTCTATTTAATTGGAATATCTGTTTAAACTATGAAAATAGAACATTTATATTGAATTGACAGAATTAGTTTTTATTATTTAGCTATGTCAGAGCCTGCAGGGCTTGTTTCATAAGTACCAAGAAATATTTAAAAACTTGTAATTCCAATTGTTCACTGTTTTGTTTGAATACGAAATCATAATTTTATTTTACGCAGCAAATCAGAATGGGCCCGAGTTTGCATTGATCGTCTTTTCTAATTAATTTTCTGTCGGTTTCATACGAGCTAATATGCTAATTAGAGCAATATGGTCGAAATATCCAAGTCAAAATCCCTTCCGAGGAAAAAGCAGTATTACTTTTATTTGTAATTGATATATCTTAAAGTACAGGATTAGTTTAATTTTGTTGATCTTGTAATGATCCGTCCAGCAATAGAACCCTAATCCTGGTATACTCAACCACTGGGACAACAGTGTAATGTGCTAAACCTCTTATATATCCTTACCGGGGGGGGGGGCATTTTCCCACTTTGGGAGGGGGGTCGTCTACCCCTTTTGGGGCCTCACCTTCAATAGAAAATGAATTTTAATTTGTTGAATAACACTTGTCTTGTGAGACATCGATCTCAACATAATAGAGAAATGTAGAAAAAGGCTTTAACTTAATATTAGAGTAACAAAACTGTTTAGTGACAATTGAAAAGGAGTTTTAGGCTGGGTAGGGGTGTATGCTTCATCTGGGGGAAGGTAGGGGGGGGGGGAAGTTGTGTCTACAATGTCACTGCAGAAACACTAATTGCCCCGTGAAAGGATGAAAACTTTAAAGTTTTCTAGCAATAAAAAAGTTTTCAAGTAGAAACTGAAATGTTAAACAAGGTTCAGAATTTTAATTCAACAGAAACCAACCTGCCATTTCCAGGAAGGTGGTTTTTTTGTGTGGGAATATTGAGGATCGTATAGTTTTTAAATAAAAATGAGCAATTGTAAATAAAATGTAAATTTGAATCAGGTATTTTCTAGAGAAGTTTGGCTCATGAGGATCTAAAAAACTATTTTTTTCTTTTTTACTTTTTTGGTCGTTTTTTTTAATGTTACAGTTTCATTTCGAAACAAAATAATTTTTCTTCTATAGTTAGTCTTTTTTGGTCTAATTTAATTTTAATTTTTACTTTTCAGGTTCGATCAACTCTGATATCCGTGTATACCTGAACACTAGATTTCCCAAGGGTGGAGTAGATCATCATTTACAGAATACAATCAGGTATAGAACTTAGTCAACACATTGTAAACACCGGTTCAGTTCAAGTACAAGGCCGACTTTTAAGCAGATTGTACAAGCTGTACAGTACATATACAGACTATATTAGACAAAATGGAACTTGTACACCAAATGAATTAGAATGTGAAAAAAGATCAGAACTGAACTGAGGGTGGAACTTTTGAATGAGAAAGCAATGAATAAATACTCAAAATCTGATAACACTTATTTATTTTTACGGGTCAAGCATGTTGCCTTTTTTCTCTCGATCTAAAATAGGTTCAAGAGAGTTTCTGGTTGGTTAAGCCTACTTATATAAACCAAAGTAATTTTTTTCCATCGGACGATGGTAATGATCAAAAGTTCCGACCTGCAACAAACTCAAGTTTTCTATTCCCTATATCTTTGCAACCTGATGGTGTAAACCTTTGATATTTCAAACTTAAATTGATTGATTTCTAACCGATTTCAAAGTTTGAAATTTCGTCAACGACGTTGAGTTGCAAAGAAATAGAGATTAGAAAATCAGAGTTCGTGGCAAAGGTTCAATTCCTTTCTGACCAGATTTTAACCGTTAGACCGAGAGGGTCACCAGGTTTAAGATCATGCCCGGAGGTCATGCAGTCATGACCGCGGTCATAAATATAAATTCACATAAATATTTTCAATGCAATTTATAGGAATACAAAATTAAAATTAAAAAAAGATTTTAGAAATCTTAAAATAAAGACATTTGCCGGCTCTAGATCCAGCTCTAGACCAGTTTTTCATAAAACTTCATAGATACTTTTTAAAGTCTTTTTAAGTTTTTATTCTCACACGCATGAATTTTTAATAAATTTGATATTAATTAATTCTATTGTTTAGGGACAACCTTTACGCGCGCACAGTGCCGGTCACAACGCGCACTCCCAGACCTGAGGAGAGGAACGGAGTTGATTATACATTCTTATCCAGGTATATAAATAGGCTTTAAAGGAACTGTGACCGTAGTTTAAAGAAAAATGAAAAGCTAAAGAACCACATTTAATTGTCCGAGCTGAGCCAACCTTTGCAGTCCTACTTTGGACTGTACCGCCAATTTACAATTACTAAAGCGGCAGAGGAATGTCAAATTAAATACTGATTATTCGCTTCTCCTTTTTTCCAGCAAGGATGAAATTGTCTGAGATCTAAGATTGTATATTCACTAAAAATTACGTCGTCTGTTTCACAAAAAAATAATAAATAATTACACTACACATTGTCAAACTTGTAGACGTTTTCATTTTGTAATTTTAATGTTGTCCTCGCTTTAAATGTATAATAATTTTTATTCCTTCGTTAATGTACATTTGTCTAAAAATAATGAATATATTGAAAACATAAATAGTTCTACTCTAGTTGTACTAAACAAGATTAATGGTGGCCATGATTAAGATGATTGTTCTTGATTCTAATGAAAGAAAGAATGAATAAATGATATAATTGATTACGATGAAAAATACTCTGATGTTGAAAAAGACGTAGAGAGTAATGATCTTTAAAGATAAATGATAAACATGAAAGAAACTGTTGACAGTAATGATAATGATAATTATAATAACAATAATTATTATTTTAATATCAATTTTATACTAAATCATGATAATGATAATAAAGAATGAAAACAATAATAATAATTATACAGGGAAGAGTTTGGAGCATTAGAGAAGTCTGGTGATCTACTAGAAAGTGGAGAATACGACGGTAAATATTTTATTATTTGATATTGTAAAACAAGGTCATGTGGCGAATTATCTGTACCAAATTCTTCTATAGAGCTTCTATCTCCCTATTTAACAAACTTTTCTAATTTCTTACACTATAACCCATCCCCCCCCCTATCATCTCTTACTGAAAGATCATAATATGCTAGAAACCCTTTACCAAACTTAGGAGCTAATATCAACGGATTATCTTTAGTGTGGAATATAACGTTGTTCCTGAAATTTTATCCATTAACTGAGTTTAACCGAAGAAATTTAGTAAAAAAAAAATTGACGGACAATTTATTCTAAACGAAGACGATTAAGGTTCATGGAGTACGTATGTTCAGTGTACACTGTACACAATGTTGAGTTGAGAGTACATTTGTACAGCGGCGATGAGAAACCATGGCGGTCGAATTGAATTCTCGGAAAACTGAATCAGCTCAATTTTTGTTATATATTCATTCAGTTTAGTTTGATAAGTTGCCGCGTATGTGTAATAGTAAACCCAGTGTATATTTAATATAGATATTACGTAAAGAATTAAATTTTAAAGGATAAAATGAACTCTTTACCACATTGGTTTGGAAAGAACAAAAAGAGGAAGAAGATTGAAAACCTGTCTCCTCCAATCTTAGATTACATTCCGAGTATAGGACACAAGGATGTTACGTCCATTCAGGAGTATAGGTTTAAGGACGCCAAGTCCTACTCATCAGAAATCAACGATGCTGCAACTAACAATTACCCACTAGGACTTGAGTACGTATCATCTTATTCTCCAGGACGTCAGGACACATATTATAGAGCTTCGGTGCAGGATTTGCTGGGACTTGAGGCATTGACGCGTCCTATTTCAGGGTGTGTCGATGAAGAAAAATGTTATATATCTTTTAAATCAATTTAAATAATATTGTAAGTTAAAATAATTTCAATTTAAAGTTTCTGAAATTTAATTTATAATTTTCAGATTTTTGTGTCAGAAATTGATAGAAATCTTTTGACTGAGTTTTCCTGTAGTTTTCAAATGATATTATTTCATTGTTATTTTACCTTTTCCATTCTTCAAATAGAACTGCACCCCTCCCCTCTCTTCTCCCATAGACTTATCTTTAACTCCCCTCACCTTCCCTTTCTGAACTCTTTCGACTCTTCCATAAACTCCCCCTCCTTCCCTTAAACACTTTTCTTTAACTCCCCCTCACCTTCCCTTCCTGAACTCTTTATATAAGCTTCCCCCCTTCATTCTAGAAACCCTTTTTAAACTTCTATTATCTCTTCTGTTATTTCTTTTTATACCTACCACTGCCCTCTAACCTCCCCCCCCCTTATTTCGTTTTAAAACCTTCTGTATTGTATCATACCCTTCCAGTTCCGCCTTTATTTTTCTTAAAACTCTGAATTCTAAGATTGAGCAACTATTCTCTTGGAACTGAGCTTACTGAAGAGAATATGTATGTGAACGGACAGGTCTATCCCAGCTTCAATCCCTTCAAACAGGGGTTTATATTTTACAAAGCTATTTGACTAAAAGGCCAATTTACTTTTTTCAATTGGAAATTATTGAAGTTATTTGAAATGTCCTCTCGAGTAAATCTTCATTTTCTCCTCAAAACATGTTGACCTAGTAAAGTCTCTCAAAAGACATTTCTAAGTAACTGATTCCCTTGGGAACTGTAATTTCCCTGCCTTGCAACATTAGCCTTAAACTTGATAAAACTACAAACAAATTCTGTGCTTTTTCTACTTCGTCAGATTTTTTCACGAGTTTTAACCCAAGGAAAGGTTTGTTTTCTTTATGTGTTGAATTGAAAGATTCTATATTTTTTTTTAAAATCTTGTTTATATTTATTTTGTGTGAGTAGGTCCCCCGGGGCCATTTCACAGAATATTTTCAACACAGAGACGACAGGTACAAACAATTCGTCACAACATCTAAACATTGGCAGATATTTGATGTAACATCTAACTTTGAGAAATTCCATTTGCAGACCTGAAAGCATCACTGGAAGTTTGATGGAAGGCGTGAAAACATTTTCCAATACTCCCTGTACACCTGACGTTTTGTTGAAAAGAACCTCTACATTTATCCATCCTATTCGAGGGATAAACGAGAAAATAAAGAATGAGAATTCAAAATGTGATCAATCAGAAAATCAGCTTTTATCTTGTCAGAGTGCAGACCTGTCTCAAAACTATATTTCATCCTACAAGGAGTTAGAGTTGAAAACTTCAGCTGGATTAAGTTTCCTGGATCATGAAGGATCAAGTTTCCTGAATAATAAAGGAACAAGTTTCCAGGACAACAGAGGATTAGATTTCCAGAACAATGGAGGACAAGGTTGTCAAAATAATGCAGGATCAGTTATCAAGGATAATAGAGGATTAGATTTCCAAGAAAATGGAGGATTTATTTTCCATAATATTAGAGGATCAGATTTCAACAATAAAAGAAGATCAGATTTCCAGAAAAGTGGAGGATCAAGTTTCCCGAAAAGAGGATTAGATTTCCAAGAAAGTGGAGGATCAAGTTCCCAAGTTAATCGAGGATCAGGGTTCCAGAATACTAGATTCTTAAGCTCCCATCTGAATGAAGGTTCAGATATCCATAAAGATCCCAATTTAGGATCCTTTGATGATATAGGATCTCCAAACACAGTTGGGCTTCCCTCGCCTCAAACAGGAAATTAAACATATTTTGCTAATTCCTGGCATAATATTTCAATACCAGTACTATTATATTTTATTACGTTTCAAGTTTTAAACTGAAAAATTCTATTTTTTTTTATAAAACTAATTTTATTTAATTTTTCCTATTTTGTTGATTCACCATGCACACTACACACAGTTCTCCTTTAGCCAATATATCCATTGTTTTTGACCTAATCTATTTAAGAGGACTAACATATATCACAAAATGTTAAGGCTATAGAATAATGTCTATCTATTGTGATATGTTTAATAAGAACATACCTAGGAATATATTATAATGTTAGAATGGCGCATTCATCAAGGAACAATATATAATGAATTGTCCCCTCCTCCCCCTGTATACATTATGCAAACAAACTCTAATTACAAGAAAACAAAACAATATTTTCAAATCCCAAACAAATTATAATTTTTTGAAATTTTTGGACATTGAAAATATTAAAAGTAGACTCCTCTTCTTAGGAAACATACTTATGAATTTACTTCTTCTCACATGCATAGATAAGAATTTATTTTAAGATCTGGATCAAGTGTAAGACCAAAATCTCTCCAGGTTGAAACACCATCAAGTAACAACAACTATGATGAGATTGCTCCAATGCAAGAATTTCTTCTAATGCAAGTCGACCAACCTTCTTCTCGATCCAGTAGCCACGCTTCTCTTACAAACCCATCAAAATCAAACTTTGATAATGGCAGTCTGAGAGATTCAACTTCAACGGTAGATTCAATTCAGAATCAGAATTCAGATTCAGAACATCTTGGGTCAGATAATATCCAGTCTGTATCCTTGCATCAGGACCAACCAGGTTAATGTAAAGAAAAGTTTCAGGTTTACATTTGCTGTCAGAAGTAATTCTCCTTACACAGAATTTAATAATTTTTCAAGAAAATATATACCCTTGTTAACTTTATAAACTATAAGAAAATATATACCCCTGTTAACTTTATAAACTAAAAGAAAGAATGTTGACTTCAATTCATTTTTTTCTGTCATAGTTAAGCTAATGGCAAAACATAAACTTTATATTGATAACAAAAACCAGAATATGTTCGAGGTATTATTGATGAGTTACATCCAGATTTTCATAAAGATTTGTTAATTTTTATTTACCAGTTTAAATTATGAAATTAGCCTATTTTTATTTTTCTGTGGTTAAAGTAGTACTAGATATATAAAAGGTGTTAAAATTATCTTATTGAGATAAGAAGTAAAATTTGTATTCTGTAAAAATACCAACTCTCATTATTTCTTATCTTTTCCTTTGTGTACAGGTGGCAGTAGTAAATTTATGTTTAAGTGAATATTTTTATTCCAACAAATTGCACTTTGAGTGCAATATCAAGACTTCAGATTATCCATGAAACAATCACTCTAGAATTTAAAATTTGAGAAGTTGAGTAAACCATAGATCTTGAAATTTCATCCGTTAAACTCAGTTAAAAATTCAGGAACATGTCAGTGCAAACTTTTCAGTGATACATAACACAAGCAATTCCTAGTAAATTAATAAATTGTTTTAAAAAAAAGAAGAGCTTAACTGATAATTTTACCTGAAGTAATTTTGTATGTGGTTACAACTAGTCTTCCAAAGGGCGTTTTCAATGTTATAGAATCAAGTTTTTTTAACCAATGCTTAGGATTCAAGTTCTTACAAAAAATCATTTATTTTTAGTGGCAAATTATTGGTTTAATCCTCAATTGTCAATCAATTATCAGAAAATAAAGATTTTATTGTTAAATTAAAGAAATTGTTAAATTTATAAGAATCATTTATAAAATTTTATCAAACTTAAGGAATCCTAAGCAGTTGTTTAACTTTAATTGAGGGAAAATGTTAAATTTGAAACATCACATTTTAAGGAACTGAAAACGTAATTTCAAGAAACCCCTCCATGAAAGATGGCAATGTCTGATTTACAACGGTGCCCTTCAAACTTTGTCTGATCTGATCTAGTATGAATTAGATATCCATGTTTTTGTTTCTTAAAACTGTTTATTTTCGTTTATGGTCTCTAAAAAGCAATGGAGAAATTGTAAGCATTAAACAGTTACCGGTCAGAAAAACGATCTTATCCACAATTTAATCAGCTAAAGGTGTTAAGGTACCGTTGTAAATCGTGCATAGCCATCTTTGCATGTAGGGTTACATGAAATTACACTTACAGTCCTTATAAACTTATTATTTGTAGGAAATCACTATGGGACCCCGCGACCCACCGGAGACTCCTCTCTAAGACCTGAAGTAGCCCCCGGTCAGCACCCGAGTAGTGAAGGCAAGCGGCGCAGGAACCGGTCAAACGTAGAGGCCATGGCCGCCAAGCATATGGAGGCGGAACAAGAGAATAACGGTAAGAAATAATATTTTTTTGTGATTTGTGATGCAAGTATCATCAATGATTCACAACGTTGTCCTAAGTAACTTAAACTTAGGGTCAATATCAAAGATTTGTTTAATCTTATCTGATAATGAACAAATTTAATCTTATCTGATAATCAACAAATTTCGGTCATACTTTCATAGGCAAGACGTAAAGAGGTAAAGTGGTAAAGTGGTAAAGTGGTAAAGTGGTAAAGTGGTAAAGTGGTAAAGTGGTAAAGTGGTAAAGAGGTAAAAAGGTAAAATGCGTGCCAAATGCAGAATAGTTTCAACTATTTAGAAAGCTTAATGCATCCATTTTACGATTTATGCAACACTGTCCTTGTTAGTAAACAGAAGGAACCGGTTCTCTCGGACGGAATAATAATAATAAACTTGAGTAAAATCTTATTTTTCATCCGAGAACTTCAAACTAACGTCATGAATTATAAATTTTCTAAAATGGCAGGAAATAGTTTTTATTTGACAATTTCAAATCATTTATAAACCTGGAAGAAAGAAACATTTCAACTGTTTTCATTTTTCATTTGAAAATATAATTTCTCTTTTTCCAATTCAAATTATTTGAATGTTTTCAGAAAAAAAATAAAAGAACATTAATTTCTTATTTTATCTTTTAAGCTTAGAATATTTACCGGTTTATTGCATATCCAAACTACTTTTAATATATTTCGTCTTTAACAAATTAATGTTTATCATCAAAAAACATTTTTCATAAAAAGTCGTAGTGCCATTTCTTTTTTTTAATTTCAAGAGCTATTTATGAAAAATCGCCATATTTGATTTCTTATGAGCATTACATTAAATGTTGTATTTATTTACCCCTGTATCTAATACATGATATCTGATAGAGCTTATTAGATTTAGGAGAAGAGGACTGCTGTAATTTATCGTCGATATACATATACAGTAGCATGCTAATAGCAATATGTATTATTCAGTCTACTTACAATAAAACCTGATCTGATAATTTTTAAGGCATATATTTAACAAGCAAATATTTTGCAAGACCAATTTAGGAAAATCAAATCTTGTATGGAGAGTATGTTTTTGAAAAAAAATTGTTCCTTGATTTTTTCGACTTTTTTTCTTTTAAGACAAGAATTTAAAAGTTTTACCATCTTTCGCTTGTCTGTTTTCTGTTTGTTTGTTTGTGTCAAATAAACGTCAAAACAGCAGAACCGATTGGGACCAAATTTTTTTTGGGATATCGCGTGACCCCAGGGAAGGTTTATTGATGATCAAATTTTCTAAAATTAGCCGATAGCAACATTCGATTTACATAAAATTTTGAAATCCACGATTTTTTTGAAAATTCGCAATTTTTTATTTTTTTTTTTTCAATGTATATAAAGAGAACACAATTGAAACAGAAGATGGGCTCGAAGCTCTTATTATATATCGTTTTAATTAAATTCAAACTTGCTTAAATATAATACGAAAGATGTGTGTTGGGAATCTAATGAGTTTTTATTTTATCTAAAAAATTATTTCTTCATTTTGTTTTTTTCCATGTTTCATATCTTTAAATTTTAATAATTTCAATAAAAATGGGGGGATGGGGGACGGAAATTGAAAGAAATGTCCCAGAATATATTTGTAAGGGACGGTAATAAAGAAAAATGACCCAGAATATGTTTAAAGAGGAGCGGAAAGGGGTACCCCTGAAAATGTTTTCAGGGGAGCAGATAGGGCCCAGGTGTAATGCCCATGGAAATGTTTCTAGGGGAGCGGATGGAATTTGTAAAATAGTTTGAACCTAGAACTTGTAGGATTGATTTATCTCATTTCTAGTTTACACTCTAGCTTTGTCAGATTGTATATACAGGAACAGTTTCTTACGCTCTACATTCAGGGTTATCCATAAAGGATAAGACTTGAAAGACGGAATTGTACGGAATTCATACTTTCTGTTTCAATATATTTCCTATTCTCTGCAACATTAAACATGTTTCTTTATCTACAAAATCAGTTAAAGAAACCACTAAACGACTAGATGTAATTTTACCCCGGGATTATCTTATTATGTAAGTTTCAGGGTCGTCTTCACAGTCTTATATTTTGTGGGTAACCCTTCAGGAGTCTAAAACTTGATACTTCTTTATCATTCTTTTCNCACTCATCCACTCACTTAATCTTACACTCATCTTCACTAGCTCACTTTCTCGCATTTTAATGGAATATTCACCCCCCCCCCTTCCAATTTGAAAGGGGCCTTTTAGAATGAGAAATGTTGAGTAAGATTTATGAAGAAGGAAGTTTTGTTTTTGTGTCGGGATTTAAAGTGAAGCATTCGTACTATTCAATAGATTCACACCGCATCTATCTTCATCTTTATATTTTCCTACAGTTTATTTGGATATTTTCTATACTATTTGGATATTTTGGATATTTTCTATACTATCTGGATATTTTGGATATTTTCTATACTATCTGGATATTTTCCAGAATATCTGGATATTTTATATACTGTCTGGATATTTTCCAGAATATCTGGATATTTTCTATACTATCTGGATATTTTCCAGACTATCTGGACATTTTCTATACTATTATCTGGATATTTTCTATATTATCTGGATATTTTCTATATTATCTGGATATTTTCCAGAATATCTGGATATTTTATTTAATATCTGGATATTTTCAATATTATCTGGATATTTTCTATACTATCTGGATATTTTCTATAATCCCGATCAGTTAATTAATCTGGAGATTAGCAACAGGAGGAAAACAAGCATTATTTAATCTGGAGATTAAGAAAAAGAGGAGATCAAGCGTTAATCTCGATATCCACCATTCTAAAGTTTTCAGCTCTGGATATTTTCCATATTATCTGGATATTTTCTATACTATCTGGATATTTTCTATACTATCCTTATTTTTATCTTCTTTTCTCCTCGCAGATATTCTCATTTCCGAGTGATTAATCTTTTGCTATCTTCATGCATACTTTCATAAACACCATTTTAGGGGTTCAAAGCCCTCCCTCTCACAATAATAAATATTTATCAGCCTTGAAAGGAAGTTTATGTCCAGTTCAGTTCGAAATCTTTTTTCATCCAACCTTTTTTACCTAATCATCGTAAATTAAAGAATGTTCTGATCAGTTTTGGGTATTTTCTGACTGTCGTAGGGGTTGTGGTAAGGGGCCCTAACTCAAATTTTGGCCCGAAACCTTGGGTGATTAATAATATTTTTTTTTTTAAATCACGAGACCTACCCTGAAGAAGGGGCCTTACCCACCTATAGAATACATGGGCAGATTGTAATTGGGGAATAAAGTATTGCTCTTCAGAGTTCTGATAATTTTAGCAAACTTGAAAACTAAGTGTTTAATAGCCGCAGCGCTCGGCCCCCTAGACTATCCTAGCCCCAGCGCTTGGCCCAGATATAATCCCAACCTAATCTAACCCACGATATAGGAACATATGAGCATATTCATATTGTAAGGATATTGGTTATTGGGACCATAGGATAGTTAGATATCACTTATCACGTGACCTAATGGTTGGATTTGATAGTTAGGGCCTCACCACTATTCTGCTATAAGGATTGAACACAGTGCTGATATACATTAGCATGTTTTTATTTCTTGAGAGGTTTTATCAAGAGGCTCGAAAAAACGCTGAATTTATATGATAGCAAATTGTAAGTTGGACAAAAGTTTTTTTCGTTTTCTGTTATTTTGCAAAATATCATAAAGGCAAAGTTATAGAAATTAATGATAATGATTATTAATTATAATAATTCTTTAAGAATGTTGACCACTTGAAACCAAAAACAAGTGTTAAAAACATGAAGGAAAAACTAATGCCCATCACTAGTTGTGGTATGCAGACAAGAACATATATAAGAAATATTAAGAAAGGATTTGAGTAGAGAGGGGTGGGGAAAAGTCCATGAGTTAAAAAGGATTTTCTCCGAGTAGAACTTTAAATGGTTTGGGGGTTGGTTAGGGGAGGAGAAAGTGAGTTTTGTAGAAGGGGAGAGGGAAGGAAGAATTGAATTATTTGTTGTATAAGTGACGTCAATAGCTTTAATTTCAACTCGGAATTTTAAATTTAATTTATCAAAGAATGAATAGATATTAAGAGCATCTCCGTGTATAAGAGATTTATTATATATCGTTTTAATTAAATTCAAACTTGCCTAATTACTCACTTTCTCAATCTACTTAAACATTTAATTTATATAAATCATCAAGATGGATTTGAGTTTAATTTTATACCCTCAACACACCTAGGAACCTTTCAAAATTAAAAGATACTAATTTAACCAGTATTTGTTTCGTATTTTGGCGTCAAAACTTGGAAAGACTGATTTTGAATATCCTCAAACTATTATAGTTTATCTGAACAAATATAAATGAAGCTACAATTATGACCCCCTCCCCCTTTCTTCAGTAATGCTCGTGTAATCAATTCCTTAGAGAAGACTTTTTAGTAATTCCGTTCTCTCCTGGTATCTTCAACCCTTCCCGCTTATCTTGAACACTTCCTTACATTTAATTTTAGTTTGTTTCTTTAACTTCCATGTACTCACTCACCTTCCACTTATCCATTCACTTAATCTTAAACTCATCTTCACTCATCCACTCACTTAATCTTACACTCATCTTCACTCATCCACTCACTTAATCTTACACTCATCTTCACTAGCTCACTTTCTCGCATCCACTCATTTAATCTTACACTCATCTTCACTCATCCTGCACTCACTTTCTCTCATCCACTCATTTAATCTTACACTCATCTACTCACTTTCTCTCATCTACTCACTTTTTCTCACCCACTCACTTTCCCTCATCCCCTCACTTTCTTTTATCCACTCACTTCCTCTAATCCACTTATTTCATCCACATAACTTCTCTCATCCACTCACTTCCTCTCATCCACTTATCTCATCTACATAACATCTCTCATCCACATAACTTCTCTCATCCACTGTCATCATCTCATCCACTGTGTTCCTCTCATCCACTCGAACTGTCCTTCAAAAACTTTATAACCGACCCTTCCTTATTTTACTTGCACCAGTCACTTCTCATGTTGACTCACTGCGCTGAAACCACCACTTCCTCGGACCCCTCTCACTCCCTCTGACCCATTCACCCCTTCTTACTTCCCTCCATTCCCAAAGTTTCTGCACACTGCACCAAATTTACTGTCCATTACCCACTTACTCACTTCACTTTTTCAATTAAATCTTCTTTTTTACGTAGTGTAAAAAAATCCATAATAGTCTGCAATTCTTTATATTAAAGAATTTGTCCCAGTAACCCCCCCCCCACAAATATACAACTTATGGGGGGAAAAATTATAAAAGGGGGGGGGATGATTTTTCGTGATAATATACAGTGCCTGTCCCCCCATTCATCTTTGGTTTGTACAACGCCACTACCTATATGTTTGTGGTAGGACGGAGTGGGTTAGGGCGGATCATGAAAATGTCCCGCCCACGATCCAGGTCTTATCTATCATAGATCTTAAGTAGACAATAACCTATACCTATATGTATATTACAAGCACAAGTAGCTTCAACTACTGTACATTATTTTTCTATCACAGATCTAAGTAAACAATAACCTATACTTATATGAATATTGCAAGCACAAGTAGCTTCAACTACTGTACATTATTTTTTTATCACAGATCTAAGTAAACAATAACCTATACCTATATG